TGAACTGCAGATAGCAGACAGCTGAAGTGGCCTGCAGTACTGCACTCTACCCACTGCACCACCTCGGATATGTTAGGGCAGATAACCGGTTGCTAAATTATTTGAATCCTACCATTGGTGCACGCATGCTTGCTTCACTCATATGCACCACCTCTGTGCAGGCGCAGAACATCAAAAATGGGATGAGATGACCTCCAGGCAGGTGGGCAGAGCCTTCCACCGCCACCGCTATCGGTTCACCCGAACTGCATAGAACCACTGTTATTTACTTATTGATTCGTTCATTCAATTTCCTGCACACCATTTTATATAGCATTCTCCTTCATTTTTATGACTATGAGAGAGAGATACGGTATCCTAAAACACAGGTATGGCTTGGCAATGCCCACTGAACAAATGTGAACAAGTGTCGACTTCAACTTATTTTTTGGTCCAAATCTAACACCCAAGTGTTGGAATTCATTGTTGGATGTTGTATTTTTATGCAACACCTACAGTAATATTTAGCCAGTAGATGGCAGTATTTAAATCTTCGAGTTTACGGTATATATATACTCTATGCTCTTTTGTTCTAAGTAGAATTTCCTGATTCTTGTTACAGTAAAATAGTTGAGCAGTAAAGTACATGGTGACTGTACTCTTTGTTTACACTGTGTGGTGCTTTATATAACCAGAATTTCCAATACCAAGCTGCTATGTTACACTGACTTTCCACCAGCTAACTTATACTAAGGGTCTTGTGCAATGATGGAATATGGTTTAAGGTTTCCTTACTTCTAGGTTATCTTCATTTTAACAATAAGTAAAATTTTCTGATGTTCAGCCCAAGTCTCAATATTCTCTCTTCTTCCTCTTCAGCCACAGCTTTACAGTTTGAGCGTTCTACTGTACGAAGGAGGTCTTTTAAAAAGATAAACAGAGCTCTCAATGTCCTCCGAAGGACAAAAAGTGGCAGTGCTGTGGCTAACCATGCTGAATGGGAACGAGAAAACGTTGAAAATCTGATTGCTTCAGAGGCAGGTAATCATTCCCCCCCCCCAACTTATATCTAGATTATACGGTAGGGTTTAAAAATAAAACAAAATAATAAAGTCTGCCGTGAATCAAGCTTAACGGCTGAATACATATTGGATCTACCTAGATCATTTTCTGCATAGCGGTACCAAAGTTGTTGCTCTTCCCTTCCACTATTTGTTTTACTTCCCATTCTACCTTAGAAACCTGTTCTGATCCCCTCCTCTGTCCAGTAACGAAAGCCGAGACACACTTAATGAGAATGTCCTTTAATAACAAGTCCAGACTCTCAGTGGCTGCATCATTAGAAGCTCTTAAGAAGGGACTGGACAACCATTTGTCTGAAGTGGTATATGGTCTCCTGGTTGGGTGGGATGGGGTTGGACTGGAGGACCTCTGGGTAACTTCTAACTTGGTCATTCTGTTCTGTTATTCTTTCTATGATTGTGTGTATCCATCCCATCAAGCCCAGAGAAAGTCTGGAATGGTATAGGATCTCCTACCCTGGACCGCAGGGGTTGGGCTAGAAGACGTCCAAGGTCCCTTCCAACCCTATTATTCTATGTCCCATCTTTTTGATCATCAAAAAATCAACTAGGGTTTTCCACCTTACCCTCCTTGAAAATGAAATGCGATGTGCCTTGCTTAACTTAATTAAATGCTATGTGCCTTGCTTAACTTCTTTAAAGCAATGTTGTAGCTAATGAGAATTTTACAAGAAAAGGCAAGACAATTCACTGAAAAATTTCAGGAATAATTTTTCCTCCATGCATTGAGCATTTAGTGCTTTTATGCACACATTCAATCCAGTGACGGGTTGCACTTACCGTTACTACTGGTTTGCTGATAGCGCGCATGCGCGTCCCGTTTGCGTGTGCACCTGACTCACGCTGCATGCGTATGCGCAATCCACCACTCCTGCAACAACCAGCTGATTGTTGGGGCGCAGGCACCACACGTTGTGTGTGCGTGCACAATTTGCCTTTTGCCATAAAATCAGCTATAGAGCGCGGGCGGGCGGGCCAAAAGAGCCACCATACTGGTTTACTCTCAGCTGCTCCAGGCCGCTACCAGTTCGGCCGAACCGGCAGCAACCCACTTCTGATTCAATCTTTAATTGCGTGTCTGCAAAGCAGGATATGTGGTCTTGATTTACTACCCAAGTTCTACGGAGAGAACTTGATGCTGAATTCATGGACAACTTACACATGTGCTAAGGAATTGAGCAAACAAGTTGGACACCCAAGTGATTCAGAGAAACGCCAAAGCTTTGTTCCCATCCACACACTTTGAATGCTCAGCTCCTCAAACGAAGGATCCATGTGGCCCATCTGCTTCGGAGACACAGTGGCAGATCAAAACTGGGCCCCCTTATAGCTCTGCCGTTTGCACACTCTACGGTTTTACAGAGAGAACTCCCGTTGAGCTAGACTTTAAAAGAGAATAATACCCAATCTCTTTTGGCCGTCAGCTGTTATCATCTACTTTCTGGAGTCATCTGCATCCATGATGATTCGTATTCATTTAATCTCGTCAAGATTCGGGAGTAGGCTGTTTCTAAAATTATACTTCCTACTTCATGTTTTCACTGAGGTCAGCTGCAGTTTAACTGCCAGCATTATTTTAACTTTCCTTTTGGTAGCTATCAGCCGAGCTCCAATTTATGTGTAGACATACATCATCAGACATTCCACATGTATGCAAAGCGGGGAAAAAAATCCAGATTCATCCTTTTTATTGAGGTTTATTGTAGAAAGGCGAAACCACCAAGGAACAAAATGGTCCAAGATTTCTAAGCGATGTACAACCTAAGAAGTCCCCATATCAAAACCAGCTACACTAAGAACTATTGTTTATTTATAAAGGTAGCTCTGTTCAATTAAGGGATGCTAAGTGGCTAAGAGGCTGAGCTTGTTGATCAGAAAGGTCGGCAGTTCGGCGGTTCGAATCCCTAGCGCCACGTAACGGAGTGAGCTCCCATTACTTGTTCCAGCTTAGAAATCTTGGACCATTTTGTTCCTTGGTGGTTTCGCCTTTCTACAATAAACCTCAATAAAAAGGATGAATCTGGATTTTTTTCCCCGCTTTGCATACAT